GTCCATTTTCAAGATTTTCATATGTTTATAGATTTACTTGATTTGAACCATTTTTCAAATTTAAAATTTTATAATTAGATATAAAAATAGATTTTGACATAATCCTAATAACATTGTACATCAAAATTATATACCATGATAAAATTTGAAGGGCACCGTACCTCTACACCTACCGAGGCGTCCGTATGGAAACTGCACCCTTATGTTAAAGCGTCTTTTGGGGGTAAAATTATCAAACTACCCCTCGTAGTTCAAGCTTCCCATCATCGAACAAGGGCAATTTGAAAAAAAAATAATATTTTTCGATGATGTACCTATTTGACATAGAAATTTAAAAACATACCTTCAAGTGATATTGTAAGGGGTTTCAACCCCTACAGCATAAAGATCTATGCTTCTCCTACTATCCAGCCGTTCAATTTTGATCAACAGAACTACTCACCGTTTGATCTCAGATCCGACGCCTCAAAGTATTTTATTTTTAGTTTTTTTATAAAAATTGTATGAATATGAAATTTGATACGTCCCATCTTCTCATTGGGGCGCACCTATAAAAAATATTAAAAATAATTTTTAGATAAAATATAATGACCAAAATATCCCTTGAAAATTTCAAGGGTATTTTGGTCATTTTATTTTATTAGAAATATTTGTTTTATGTTTTTCGCTAGTGCGAGTTTAATAGAGGATTGGAAGTCCAAAATTTGGTGTCAAAATAGTTTATAAAAAAATTAAAAATAAAATAGTGTAGAGAAGTGACATTGTGAATGGGGCAATCTTACCCCTCCATTCAAAATGGACGGTTTGGATAAGGGGAAGTATATAAGTTTTATGCTGTAGTGGAAGCATTGAAAGCTTGCCCTTGATATTTTTTCTAACAATAATACTAATAATATTAACAATAATACTAATAATATTAACAATAATAATAATAACAACAACAACAATAATAACAATAATAATTATCTTAATAATTGTGAGCCTTAAATAAGACCAATCGTGTATCTGTACTTGCCCCATTCATCTCAATTCTTTCTTCTTTTTTTTTGGACCAAGGTTACTACTTTTATTGATAACTACAAAAAGAAAATTATATTATCATAGATCAAAAGAGAGGGGATAGAGGAGCCTCCTTTAGTTAAGAGGTCAGCAACGCTATTGGCTTCTCTATAAATATCAGAAAAGGAAATCGAAATTGAAGCACCAGTTACCAAGTCCATCACCTGTAACCACAAAGGCCGGAGTTCCCAAGGGATTTTTAGTTCTTTTTTGCACCATTTAATGACATTCAAGGAATCATCTTTAATCGTGCAGTTACACCCTAAATTCCTCCTTAAAAATATCTTCAAACCACAAAGCAGCGCACTTAATTCTGCAAAATTTACTGTAGCAGAACCTAGCGGACCAACACAGGAGAAAAGAACATTACTAGAGCAATCTCGCATCACGCCCCCAATCCATGCTCATCTTGCGTTTCCAAAAGAGCTACCATCAAAGTTAATCTTTAGGCTTCCTAAACACTGTGCCACCCATATACATCTCGGTCTAGAGCAATTAGAACAAATTTCATAGATCGGCCATCACATCCATTTTGGAAATACCCCAACCCTCTTCATTTACTGACAACCACAGCCATATAGAATATTTTATAGTATGGATTAGCTTATCAAAAAGACAAGCAATCCCTTTAAAAGTTCTTCTATTTCTTTCCTTCTATACCTCGTGGAGAATCACTCCTACTACAATGTTCCATACTACATGTACAATCTTCCATACTCAATTCTTAAAAGATAATTTGATCTGTATTGTTTGTGGAGCTCCAAATTCAGAAATATTATGTAGAAACGAATTAGCAGCAAGTTAAGATGTATTTCAAATCCTAAAACCATTACACCCCCTCGCTACCTCTTCTTTTTTTAAAGTCTTTCCGACTTTTGCTACTTCAAAGAAGCTTCTTCTCCGAGCACGTTTGTCACAATGCGGTACCACCTAAGCGGTGCATGTCCTTTGTGAGGTCCAGGATTTGAATTTAAATTTGAGAGGAATCCACATGAAAATAGGTTGCACTACAAGCCCAATGTATTTGCTCTCGGGGTTTGCGCATTTGGTTATAGAACATATGTATCGGACGCATGTAACACAAAATAAAAAATAAAAAAAGGTAGGGGTGAATTAGCGTTTAAAAAAAAATATTGATGATCTAGACCACCCATCTAGAAAATAATTTGGATAGGCAGATTGGCGGTCTGAATCCGTGATCCCTTTGAGTGAATCAGCCAATAAAAAGAAGAAAAAAATAATACAATAAGAAATTAAAAATAGCAAAAAATTAAAGCTAGACTGAATTTGTTGGTTCTGACATAGAACTGATTGGTCTCTTACATATGGCAGGAACCGAACTGGTCCCTTGGGTTCCTAATCCTAAATTTTGATCTAGATTGACATTTTTTCAAAACCCTAAGGTGCGTGTATGGTGGACCGATGGTGCCATGCCAACTTGTACAGCCAAGGTTCACGTGGTGGTGATTGCATATTATAAAATCATTTAATGTTGATACAGACTCGGTTTGATACTAAATTGGGCCGCTAGGGGAACTTCACAAATTTCAAAAGTCTTTACAGACTTGAATTCGTTCAATACCGAATTATTCGTTGAGTGCCGTATCTCCAACTAATGACAATCTAATGTCTCACAATAATTAATTTTTTTTTTCGAAGATAAATTTGTGGTAACACCTACACCTTAGTCACCTTGTGGTTTTCATTTTCATAACTAACACCACTTCATTAATATCTTCAAAAAAGCTAACTCCTAATCTACTTAGAAAAAAGAAATAGGGTCTACCTTCCCATTGAATTACCCAAGAAAAAAAAACAAACAAAATGGTCTTCATAACGAGCATCACTTAGTCCACTTTTTGAGCTCCAAAACATTCTCTTTTAATAACACACGGAAATTTATATTAATATCCCATTGATTTGCAAATTCATGCATAAAATGTGTCCCCCATATTATATTTTAAGTTCGTGTCCCACCATATGTTTTTTTAAATTTTGTCAAAGCACCTTGAAGTTCCGAATTGAGATCCTTTTCCCTAAAGTTCTAAACCAAGTTCCTACCCAAGTCACATATAAATTTTTTTTTTAATGATATATAGGTCTAGGGCTTAAAGTCCCGAACTATGTAACAGCAATCACAGAAATAGAAAAAGTGATATAAGGTGTCAACATGATATATAAAAAGATTATTTTGATATTGAAAAACCTTCTAATTAGTCATCTCAACCTCGAGATGTATTGACATGAAAAAATAAGGCATTTTGAATACTAAAAATAATGTGGTTTGTAACACATTATTCGAACCCTCTATTTTCAAGAAATTTAAATGTTTATAGATTAGCTTGATCTGTACTATTTTTGGAGTTTAAATTTCATAATTGGGTGAAAATAAATTTTTAGGGCATTGTAAGT